TAGGCCTTGAAGAGAAACACATTACACATACTCTCTTATCTGCAAGTGGACCAAAAACCAAGCCACAATAACAGAGTGCTGAAAAAAATGTGACGATGGCTCTTCAAGTTTATCTTCCTTATAGCAAAATAGAGAAAAGTCCTAAAAAAATAAAATTTAGACTTTAAAATTCAAAGTAGACATGTTAGTATTAAAGATTATTTTTCCATTTCTTTCTCCTGAACACCAACAAGGATTACTCTCAAAAGTTTAAACTCATGAACTAAGTAAGTAGCATCTTTCTTGTTCCAAGTACCAAAACATACTCAGTAGGCTTGCATAAACTAGCTTTTCCCGAAAGATGCTAACCAATGTGCTGCTCATATTCCATGGCTTCTCTGAAGACAAGAACAAAATATAATAAAAAAACTCTACCCCACCCGAAGTCTATTCCACTGGAAAAGCAATTAAGCCTAGTTAAAATGCTTTCTACAAAAAGGCGTAAAACTGTATCTGGCAGGTGTTTCCAAAAGCTTTCCCAGTATCTCAATTCTGCTGGAGCCAGGACCAACCAACTCACACTTTTCAGTGGAAAAAAAAAAAATTAGTTCCTCCTCTTCTAATATTAACAAATACAAAGTCAAAGACAATGTTTTCTATGCAAAGATCTCTCTTGGAACTATATTAAAAGCAAAAGATGTAATGAGGTTGCACTTTAGATAATTTAATAATTCACCATGACTTTCAAAACTGAAGCAATGCAGTAAACTTTGTTTTAAAATGTAAGGTGACATATACCACTTTGAGGACCAATAGACTGACAATACAAGGAGAGTTACTAAAGTGACATGAATTATTTGCTTCATTAAGACAACAACAAATCCATGGTGAGAGCGTCTAAAGTCAGAGCAAATGATCTCTAAGTCCTAAAATGTCTTGCTATCAATCAAGTTTTAGTGTTGTCTTTGTGACAAATTTTGCCCCCCTCTTTTTTTCTGCCTACTTCCTGGTTCGTAGATAGTGGAGGTGGGAACATAGCTGAGCTGAAGGTCAGCGAGTATCAGAATAGATACTACCCAATTCCCCTTTACTTTCCTGTAAGGACAGAAGACCTAGGCACGCCTCCAAAGAAATGCCATGTTCAGATATAACAATTGGCGGGTGCCTCAACACACTATCTGGTCTGGACAACAGAATTCCAGGATGTGCTTGGCAGCACGGGGCAGATTTTTACCCCCTTCTAAAGGTCAACTCATGTCTGCAGTCAGAGGAATACAGACCTTGTTTCTTCATTTTGAAATTGGGACGATAAAACCAGATGTCATAGGACTGAGAAATCTTACATAGCAAGAGTGATAACATATGTGAGAGCACCTAGCTCAGTGCCTGGCATGTAATATATATTAAAAACACAGAAAAAAAAATATTGATTTGAATACTATCTAAGTTTAACATTTAAAAGTTGATAAATACATTCTATTATTTTCTACTTTCAAAATGTTACCTATAATCAGCTTTTGACCATCATATATCCATTACTCTGTAAAATTTTTCCTCTCATCTTACATGCTTCCGGAAGTGTCTCTCCGCCCATCCCCAGCCCCATCCTGCCTGTATTACACCTGTAGTGCATCTATGTGAAGAGGCACTGCAGTATAATGCTTGAGCCAAATCTTATGTGTGACTAGTAATAATAACAATAATTTCTGCCTCGTGTGATTGTTGAATTAATTAAATGAGTAAATAAATGTAAAACACATAAAGTATTATAGGTGTGTTAGCTTTATTAACTATCTATTAGCTTAGGAGTATCTGAAAACTGGATTTGAGGTATATTATCTGAATTTGCATAATGAAAAATATAAGTTAAGAAAATATAACTTAGAAACAAATTTTAATACAAAAAAATCCCAAAATATAATGCCTCATCATAGCAGTTATTTAGAGGATTATTCATATATTCAGAATCTTTGCTCCTGTTCCATAAACATGGATACAAAGAGAAGGTTAGGATCAGCCAAAAAGACTAATTAAAATGTTACCATTAATTTTAATTCACTGTATGCACTCAAACCTGCATTAGACAAACATAAAAACCATTCTGATTCATTTCAAATTAAAATAAACATTGCCTAGTATTAGTTACATTTCAGGTAAATGATTTCCTTTTAATATAACACTACCATGCTAGCCTTTGATTGAATACCAATATTATAAAGTAGTTATGTAAACTCTTCTGTAATGTCTGTGATAAATTTAAAGATCTCTTACACCTAAGGAATTTTCTTCTAATAGTAATCAAAATTGAATTACTAATATCTATAAAAATATCTTTCCTAAAATTAATAGTGTTCAAAGCATTAGGTTTAAATAAGATCGCATTGGTTTTTAAAAAGAGTGGATTGTGGTGGCAGTAGTTTAAATTTCACAGTAGCTTGCTTTAGGATCAAAAGGAATTTAGGAATCTCCTAGGTCACCCCCACATTTTATAAAGAAACTGAATCCTCCCGATGCCCTGATACCGATAGGGCCTGACCGCAACCTGCGTCTCCTGGCTCCCAGCCACACGAATGTTCCTTCAAGTTTTTTCATATCAAATTTAACCAATGCATATCAATGCCAAATGACTTTTTGTGCCAAATAATTAATTCAAAAGAATAATTGTTAAAACACATATACGGACACACACACACGCACACACACACACACACAGCATTCGTTCAAGTAAGCATCACTGTGGTTGGTTTACCAACTTATGATATTTTCAAAACCCACTTAGGGGTTTCATGCCATAAAGATTTTTTTCAAAGCACTTATTTTTATTATGACTTTCAAATCACCCCAATGCTAGAGCCCACATACTCGTGCATGTGTGCACACTCTCGCTCTTTCTCAATCTCTCTAAAAAACTGTGACCAGAAATCTGCAACTTTTTTTATCATCCTACTATATTTTAGCCAGGTATGTTGACTCATCCCATCCATTCTCAGCACTATAGACAATAATTCTAAGGGAAGAGTTAGTTTCTAGCAATATATTTTAGTATCAACTTTAATCTAGTTTATTATTATTTCATAAACCAGCTTAATCTCCAAAGAAATCAACTGATGGAAAGATTTCACTTGTTAAACACATTCTATTAACCCCCTTAAAAATATTAGTCATGTGCATACATGTATAGTTTATTCATTTTCTGAAATTATTTTCCCCAAAGCAAACCATTATCAAAGTCAGTGAACTTAGAATGGAAAATAAACCATGAAGTTATTCCATCAGCGTATAGCAGCAAAATAAAAAAGAACAGTGCGTTCAATATTCAATTCTGAGCCAATCTTAATCCAGTTAAAATGTAAAAAATGCCATCTTGAATTTTTAAAATTAGCAATATATGAATAATTCATAAAAGTTGCCTTTGCATTAAATTTCCCTTAAATTTGTGCTCAAAGAAATATCAAAACCAACTTTTTAAAAATCGACTTCATGAGACTACTGCCAATGTTGTAAACAGCCTTTACCTGACAACTAAAAACACAACAATTTCTCTCTTCAGTTTGAGTAAAATCCCTTTCTAAAAACAGAGGCCAAAAGCTTTTTGATACTTACGCAAAAAATTATTTTTAAAAAAATCTAAAACTATGTTTAACCAACTATTTTAAGTTACATCCTAACCACCACACTTGCATCCTTATGGGGGGAATATTTACTTCCTTGGAATGACAGTGTTTTCTTTGCAAAGTTCCCCCACCACTAAGTAAACTATTAATTAAAACAGGTAATTCTGCACTTCATCTGTTTTAGCCCTTGCAGAAAGATCTCTAAAATGACACTCCAGCTATAGCACATACATATATGTACATGTGTATATACAGATATATTTGTAATCCTTGTTTTTTTAATCTAGAGTTTGTACTCTTCTCAGCTGTGCACTGTTGGGCAAGTTATTATATTTTTCTGATACTCAGTTTCCTCATCTGTAAAATGGGAAAACGACTGAACTTACCTTGCAGGCTTGTTGTGAGGACTGATTCTATGTTAGCTTACCATCTCATATAAATTTCCTAAACACATATAAATGATCATGCGTCCAAAATATACAAATTCAGTGGGGCATTTGATGTCCAATGAACTATGAAATTCCCTGTATCTCATATCTATCAACTAGACTGGCTGCTCATTAATTCAAAAACATCAAACAATGTGACTCTTGCAGGACGAGGATACACGGGTGGCAAGGAGGACAAGCGCTCTTGGCCCGGATCTATTATTAGACACGGTTAATTATCTACACCCCTAGTGTTAACACTGGAAAAGAAACAAACGGGTGAGAGTCATCATTAAAAGAGTCACTCTAAGATCTACAGTTGCACAGTATTCAAAATAAACAGGCATGAAGAAAAGACTGAAATAATTTCTCTAGCAGGCCTTGCTGACACATGGCAGGTCAGAAACTGCAAAGAGGTTTACAGGGAAATTAGTGAGTTCAGACTGTTCAGACTGCATGGTCCAGAGAGGTTCCAGGTTTAAAATGCAAGCAGAGAAAAAACTACAATTTAAGAGTTGGTGTCTAGTCACTCACTACCTTATAGCGGAGAAAAATGAATTTTTTGGTTATACAGTTTCTGCATACAGGACAAAGTGCTCATCAGTTTCCACAGTGAAAGACATTTGTACCTCTGTTATTTACTCTCATGTAAATAAGTAGGGAAAAACCAACCCTGATTCTCTTGTCAGGCTAGAAAGGTATTGCAGTTAATAATTACGACATCACTAACTACCTGGTATGAATTATGCCAAGTCACACAATTATCTATGGGGAGATGACAATGAGAAATTTACCCAAGAAACAGCTTAATATTTTGTTCCAAATTACACTCCGTCCCTGCCAAAATAATGTCTGGTAACGAACTCATATTCTAAGAAGAGCTCTGCTATGAACACAGACAATTCAAACTCTCTTAGTTAGATACCACACCATGCCATTTCCTTATTCATCTTAATCTATTAGTGGAACATAATCTTACCGGAAAAGGAAAAATGTTGTCAGCCCTGTTCAAGCTGTCTTCCATCCAGGACTTCGGAGCAAAGGCAGAGCTGGGGCGAGCGTACTTCTGGAGCTGAATGTGATTGCTTGCAAAATTTTTCTTCAAAGGCGAGATAGAGTTCAGGGGCGTTATTCCTCCATTCAGCCCTCTGCGATGGTCGCGGCCTTGGGAACCTCCCCAGCCACCATATCCACCACCTCCTGGGCTCCAGGAAGAAGAGGGTGTAGGAGAGGGGCTCTGGTAGCTGCTCCATGGAGAGGGGGGTTTGTTAAGATTATTCGCCAAATGAGGCAGCTGGTTAAAAGCAGCATTTCTGTGTGTGAAAGGTGGCGGGTGGGGGCTGGCAGGAGACCTCCTTTGCTGCTGATGCTGGCTGTGATGATGCTGGAAGTGAGGGTGGTGAGGGTGGTGCTGGGAGAGAGGCCCGATCTGAGGGGAGAAGCTGCCTCCGAAGCCAGGGCTGACGTGATGGGGAAAATTTTGAAACAACAGAGCACCGTTATTAGCTGAAGCAGCTGGGACCCCTCCCTGGTGAAAGAAACTGGCATCTTCGTTGATGACTGTAGAGGAGGAAGGCGCGATCGCGGCTGACCAGTTACTGAAGCCAGTAAGGGACGCCGCACTGGACGTCAGGGGTTGGGTGGAAGTACCTAGCCCCGCGGCTTCCTGATAATCAAACCCTGTCAACACTGGCGATTCGATTCTGATTTTCTCCTTCCCGTTGCCATTTTCTGAAGAATTGTCCCCTTGATTTTCTTCAGATTTTGCCTTCTCGGTTTCAGGCAGTATTCCAGCTTCCTGACCTGGACTAGGGGAGAGCTGCTGCTTGTCCAAAGGGTCCTGCTGCTCCTGTTGCTGACTTTTTGCCTTTTCTGACCCCAGGATCTCATCCTGAATGTTGTGGGTAGCGGGAGCAGGAAAGAGCCAAGCTGACCCGGCGCTGCTGCCATTGGCAGCTGTGTTATTATTTATAAAAGCAGCAGGGCTGGGGGTGGCATTTTGGTGATGGTGTGGAGGCTGCAGGTGCGGATGGAATCGGACTGGAAAAGCAGATTTATTCCCAGTATTGCTTTGCACTAGCACTCCAAACCCGTAATCCCCCATTTATTATTTTTAGGAGCAGAATCTTACAATAAAAAATGACAACCTGATGTCTCACGCCTTCGTATGCTCTACCCAAAATTTGTTTGTTTGAAATGTCTTATTTATAGCTAGCTCAAAGATCGCAGCTTATCACCCTAAATAGTTCTGATTTGGAATTCTGGTCTCTGAAAGAAAAAAGAAAACTGAAAAATCAAAATCTCTTAAAACACTGACATGAATCCAACTGGGCTTATTTCTACGAGGGAATAAAAACGAAGAGGGTAAAAATCAAGTCTTTGGTTAGTAAAATAGGCGCTTTCTTTTTCCAAAGGAAAATGTACATGAATGACAAAAACACAGCTTCTCAAGCATCTATAGATGTAGAAGAATAAGCATTGCGCGGAGTAAAAATATATATATATAATTTAACAATCACATATGGTCTTCCTCAGCAGTTTAGATTCACTCACATAAAAATTAGAATAGGGCTAAAGGGGAGAATACGTTCTTTTCTTGGCAGCTTGGTTAAAAAAAATCAGGAATAATTTAAGAACATTATATATTATATATTTATATATATAGATTATATTAGATTATCTGGGGTGGGAGGTGAATTCCTGGTTGCGGGAGAGGAAATCAGCATTGACTAATGGAAGGATGATCGCAGGGAGGTTTCTTCTGCTCCTGGTCCTGTTTCTGCTCTTTCACGGGGTGCAGTTTTGGCCTCTGGGGCTGTTCCTGAGGCTCTGGGTGCAGATCTTGCTGCGGTCGCTGTTCCTGGGCTCCCCCCGGCTTCCTCTCCCCCATGAAATGGGTTGGAAACACCCGTTTCTCCCTCTGAGGGGGTCGCGATCAGGAAGGATTAGCAAGACTCGACGAGGAGGACGAGCCGGCGGCCCGGGGGTGCGGGGACCAAGGGGGCGACCTGGAAGGTCCTGCGGTTTCGGCCTCTTCCCCTCTCTGCGGCTCCGGGGTTTTTTTCCCTCATGGGACCCAGGGGCGGTTTGTTCAGTTCTCTCAGTTCGATTCTCCGCAGGGGGGCAAAGAAAGAGGAAAAAAGGAAAAACCCACTAGTGTAGTTATCCTAAAAGAGAAGGGCCTCCCCCCTTTGCTCTCTCTTTTTTTCCCAAGATTTTTTTTTTCAAAAACTGCAATTTAGAAGGCTTTTGTTTCTCCTCACGGTTGCTGGGCCGTCGTCGTCGCCTCCGCCACCGTCTCTTTACCCCGGTCCCGCAGTCCCCGCGGTCGTTGTTGCGGACTCCGCCTGGCTCGTCTTCTCTCCTTTTCCCTCCTCTTCCTCCTCTGCTGTCGCCGCTGCCGCCGCCGCCGCCGCCGCCGCCGCCGGCGCCACCGCCTCCCGGTGCCCGGGTCCCGCAGCCGCGGCTGAGTCCTTCTCCTCAGGACCGAGCCGAGTGAAATGACAACCAGCTGGAAAGACCGAGAGACACTTCCGGTTCGAAGAGGGAGGGGTGGGGTACGGCGGACACACCGCCCACCTGCCTAGAGACCAATCAGCTGTTAGAGTTTAGAGGAGGCCACGCCCCCCATTTAGGTCCCCTCCCAGGAAGGTCGAAAAAGTCCCTCCAGAGACTCCCCTTCCGTCTGCGCCTCGCCCAGTGAAGCCGCCTGCCTGGGACCTGCTCCCCAACCCAGAGTGAGCGCAGCCGGTCGCCATCTTTAGTGTGGGCAAAGGCCTCCGTCGCTGTTTGTCTTCTCTAACCACGCTTCGCAAGAGGAACATGTAGAGATGCGCAAAAGAGAACAGATTCCTTGAGCACCACGAAAAACAGTCAAGGTGTTGGTGATCGGTGCTGGGGATCGGAATGGCGACCCTCGAAAACGCGGATGAACGGAGGAACTGCCCACAGTAAAGGTGGTTCCCCAGGCGTCACTTGCTTTGGTTCGAGCTCCGCCCCAGAAGGAGTCTTCCCAGCAGTTATGTGGTGCCTAGAACTGCGTACTACGTCCCTCTCCTGAATGTAGACCTCACGCGGGACTCTCCCTTCACCTCCCATTCCCCCATCGCCATCCCCATCCCCACCCCCACCCCCAGCCTGGCTTAGCTCTGGTGCAGCCTGTCAGGCGCAAAGATACAGCTGCCATAGGCGCCGGTGGCTGAGCCCTCATGTCCTCCCCTTTCTAGTGCACCTTACGCGCTGAAGGAGAGGGACATTTTCAAAACAAAAATCTTGCAATCCTCACCTGCTCACATCTCTTCTTAGCCTGCCCATTACCCCGCCTAAGTTTGGTATTCAAGGCCTTTGCACGTCCGTGGGCAGTAAATTATAATGTCTCACCTCCCTCCAAACATCCCACACCCTTCCTCTCTTCTCCAACTGGCAAACCCCTATTTAGTTTTAAGAATCAGTTCAAAAGCTACCCACTATGTCTTCTGAATCCTCTCTGAGTATCCATGACCCTGTGCACATCACATGCTTTTTTTTTTTTTAATCACAATATATTGTAATGGTTGCATTGACCGGACCTGTGCTCAACTGTGGGCTCTTTGAGGAGAGGACCTTGTCCTTCCTGAATGACAGGCCCTTTTCCAAGTCTGAATTATTGCATTCCTTCTGCCATTTGGTTTAGAGCTCACATCTCAACCTTTCTTATGCAGGTTATTGACTTGCTGCTCAAGGGTATGTCTTGTTCGTCTTTGTGCATCCCCACCGCTTGCCTCCTTGACCACCATCGGGGCGTAGGTTAACGCCTTGCTTTCAGCACAAGCTCTAAAGATGTTGAATAAGTGAGTGTTTTCCTTTAGCAGGAAATTAAACATGAAAAAAAAATATCAGAGTAGAACCAGAAGTGACTATGAGAAAAGAAGGGATAAAAGATCAAAGACTTTTAAGGAAACTCTTACGAACAAAGGGGGCATCTACTTCATTTCTGTAGCCTTCCCTCAATGGCCCTGACTTCTGCCGCCTCAGTTTCTCAACCCTCCAACACTTCCACATAGAACACCTGTTAGAGCCTTAGTGATTTTATTCCCTTTCATTGTGTCACAAGCCTGAATCTTATCTCTGCAACTCTGCTGCAAGTGTTGATACCTGGAGCACAGGGATTGGGTCTTACTCTGCTGTTTATTCCCCACAACTGGACATACCTTGAGACTTAGCGGGTTCAGTTAGGGGTCATTTCCTCCAGATTGGTTCCCAATGCCCCTGTCTCTAGCACCTTATACATTCCCCTTTGTAAATTACTGCTCATTGTCAGGGGGTTAGTTTCTTGAGGGCAAATTTTGTGCTCAATTTATCTTTGTGTCTCTGGTAGCCAGCAGATTCAGGACATGTTTATTAAATGAATGAATGAATGTTCAGTGCCCAGTAGATGGCTGAGAGTCTTTTGGAGCTACCAATTCTCAGTGGCTAAAATGGCAGCCATGGCTTAGAGCAAAGAAAACTGAATATCATTGGAATCTATGCACCTGAATTTGAATCCCAGCTCTGCCACTTCCTGTTGTACAGCCCCAGGCATGCCCTCTACAAGCCCCTGGCTCCTCAGAGATAAAATGTGAATGATATTTCCTCCTGCACTGGGTTGGTAAATTACATGAGATACATGTGAAGTGCTGGGCTCATAGGAGGTTTTCAAAAATGTCAGTTCCTTATTAATATATTAAATGCAAAGAACTGCTCACAGATGTCTTTTGCTCAGTAGCAGCTGCATGCATGAGTGAATCCAGGAACCTGTGTGGGTTTGTAGAGGGAGGAGGCACTCCCTAGCGACAGCCAGGGTGCTTCTAAGGCAGTCTGGTCCTTTAGAGCTGTAACAATTGTGGGCAGTGGGGCCGGGCTGGGGTTAAGCTAGAGTGATCCATTTGGATGCCGCACTCCTGGTTAGGGACTAGGAGCGTGGGATACGGAAGGGGGAAGCAGCTCTCTTGGTTCAGTTGCCTACTCAGAAACCCAGGATACCCAGCTCAGGGCTGCCCTCCTTCAAAACATTCTGGCCTCAGAAACTGTACCAGGTAACCATGACAACAATTCAGCGGCTCCATTTAGGATCTCCAAAGGGATCTAGTGTTGCAGGGTTCTGCCGGCTTGAACACTCTGCCGGCAGAAGAGGGCCCCTCCCATGAGGCGAGCTCACTGGGAAGCTTTTGGGTTGAAGAGAAAGCAACCTCTGCCCAACCATTAAGGTGCTGCTAGATTTTTTTAAGGAGGGGAACAAAACAAAACAAAACGTCCCTCCTTGTCCAGCAAGGGGCTGACACACCTTTAGAGAACTTGCAGGTTGGTAAATACACGGACCCTGCTGGCTATTGCCCAGCCCCCGCTGGGGTTTGAGGTCAACCACACCCCAAGCCCGGAGCCTCCCAGGAAGCAAAGCCCTAATATCTCCTTCACCAGCCGCTCTTAAAGCTTGGCAGGCGATATCAATCTCACCCCATAATCACACAGAGTGAACCCTGCCCCACTCCAGCTCTGAGGTCCTGCACCGCTGCCCTTGAAGCTGACGTTGTCACCCTTGTCCCAACCACACACACCCGAGCTCTCCTGGGGCCCATCTGATGCCTTCGGCAGTCAGGGCTGCCCCCGCAAGCCGCCCAGGCTGTGCGCCGTGCAGCTCCGTAAGGCACCAAAGGCAATGATGCGCATGCCGCCCCTTGGAGTTGCACAATGCATCAGCCCGGCTTCGGTTCATTCCCGTGAGACACAGAGCACACTGTGGAATTATGACACCCATACCCACAAAACCACCAGATACGACCATAAATTATACATGAGCACATGCTCATCACAGGCAGAAATATTTGAAACAATGGATCCTTTTAGAGGTGGTGGCCCAGGCGCATTCTGTGATGGAGCTGAAGGGCACTGTGTCCTTGGTGTTGTTTTTGGTTGTGAGCACAGCGAGAAGACAAGTCTGGGCAGGCACACGGTCCAGTCCCTAAGAGATTAACACCCAGCAGCATTTGCCTAGCGGCCGTAATAAACCTTTTAATGTAGTGGTGGAATATATAGTTTAGTAAAACTAAAAACAATGTAATGAGTTCAGAGTAAGGTCTGTGGAGGCAGGGGAAGAGAGAAGAGTGGAGTTACTTTTGGAATAGTACGTGGGAGCTCACTACTGGAAAGACAGAAACAAAACCCAGTCCCTAAAGCAGGTTCCATTACACCACGCCTCTGCTCTTCACCCTGGTTCAACATTGGAAAGTGTGCATGTTTACTTAGAAAGCACCACTGTTTTTTTAGCAGTTCATTGCTGGATTACATTTTCTCTTCTTGTGTGTTGTTTTGTAACCCTCTGCATTTTAAACAGTGTTCTCCTGCTTTCCCATTTAAAGTGTTACCATCAACACGGTGTCCGTTGTGGACAAGCCACTTGGATGGGGAGCGGGGAAGCCAGTTCCTCCAACGCGTTTTTACCGAACGGTTTGGAAAGGTCCCGGACACGGGCACGCTGCACTCGGAATCGCTGTCTCCTGGCAAGACTTAGGGGAGCTGGGACAGGGGGCTGGCCTTCCAGTGACGTGCATCGCACGGCGTGGCTTGGGCTCCTTTGTGGCTCCTGCCACCTATGTGGACGAGCTGCTGCCCCAGATCCCCGCTGGCTGCTCTGACTGGAGACACTTCACTTCTCTGCGTCAAGGCCGTCGCCATGCTGCCGGACAGCGGCCATCTCACACCCTGTGGCTGGGCCGGAGGACTGTCACCCTCAATGCTGTAGAACAAGCAGTTTTTCAGAGCTTGCAGGAAGACGCAGGGCCCAGGGGCCGGAGAGCTGGGAGTCAGAGACCAAAGCTGTGGCTCCGACATAGCCACCAACTCAGTCTCTGGTCCAGTTTGTCCAGTTCGATGATTTCCTTTCAGCCAGAATTTTTATGACCAAAAGAGTTTCACTTCAGAACCCTTTAGCAATGAGGGTTCAAAGAAAGTCTTCTATTAAAACAAACAAACAAACACTAAAGCTGCTCTTTTCTTTTTATGTCCAAATTGCTTGCTCCCTGTTTTTGGAGTACATGTATTACTAATGAGCAGTTGTAAGAGTTGATTCGTGAGCATCCAGCTTCAAACTTGAGTGTGCTTTAGTTCCCATGGGAGGCCATAAAATGCCTATTCCCAGGCACTGCCCCCTAGAATTCTGATTACGGTTTCTCATGGTATTTTTCTACAAAAAGTTATAAGGTACAAGAGATTTTCTCATCATAATGTGAAAGCACAGAAACACCAAAGGAAGAATGGCTAAAACAAAAGAGTTCTTCTCGCACATAAAAGAGATCGGGAGAGTCAACGCAGGGCTGGTGGGGTGGTTTCAGGAAGTCATCAGAAACCAGCTTCCTTCCAGCTCACTCTTTCTCCCACCTCAACCTGTAACTTCTGCCTTTTGATCTAAGCTGGCTGATCAAGCTCCGGCCATCACATCCGTATTCCAGATGGCAGGCAGGAGGAAAAAATAAAGAAGGGCATAGCCCTTGTCTTTGAGAACACTTTTCAGAAGACATACACGTCACT